ACAGAACTGCATGTGCATACTGTCTGCCGAAGAAATCTAGCAAATTCATGAAAGCGAAAGGGAGAAAGATGGAATATAAAATTTAACAAATGGAAGCAATAAAAAGCCCCAATTTATATCGCATTTAGCCAGAGTATGCTTATTTGTGCTCATATTTAAAAAATTGGTTTTTTTTTGGCTTGATATGACTTGACATGTCAAAAATTGGACATAGATGCTTTAAAAAGCCCGTATACGACCAGATAAACTCCTATCAGGCCGTATCAGAAACTTTTATGATGGTTTAATCCTCAAAAGAAACTTGAAAGGTAGAAAAAAAATTTGACTCTGCTTAGACAGGGTCCCATACCGTTATTCCGGCAAAAAAAGCCGAATAGAGTAAAAAGTAGACAAAAACAAAAATTGATAAAGCCAATAGGACAATTAGCGAGTTGATAAGCTCTGAAAAAGGGTAATAAATGGATTTGCCGGGTTAAAGCTGCTCGGAAAAACGTTATTCGCGGTGTATCGTCTAGTCGGTAGTGCATTAATCCGATTGGTTTTTCATTGGACAGCTCATCGAATTATTCTTGGTGCGTGTCCTCGGGTCTGGGCGATAAACCGTTTATTGATCTCAAACACCGTTCGCCAGCGTTTTTCACCCTCTCCTCCTCCTCCTTCTTGCACAATCCAAAAATCACAATAAATATATATTTACACGGCACGTGTTTTAGCGGAACAACTTGAGCATGTAGATCGAGACGACGGTGACGACTGTCGACTGTCGCGTTAAATTTAGCGTACCAATCAGTCCGCCATTCTGCACTGCCGAGGTGGCTTTACGTGCCACGCTTACATTACCTGTATTATCATCGCCAACGGTGGGTGCTCCACTGAGATTCTGGATCCTGGATCCTGGCAAGCTTAGATCTCCGCTCTATCCAGATGCGCTTAGTTTTCAGACCCAGATGGAAAATCGCCGTCATTCTGGTCCCTGCCTCACGTATGAGCATTTCATCCACTCTATACTTCATACGACGTTATGTAACGCAAAAAACTTATATTACTCTCTTTCTCATCTAGTGGAAGCTGAATATTTTCTTAATTAAGTTTCCACTTTATTTCGTATCACATACGAGACCTCGTACTGACTATTAAAAATACCCGGCATACTCCGAGGCCAAATCAACTTGGAATTTTTTTAATTCATACATGAATTCATACAAAAATTTTAGATTTTTGTAATACACTTGATACAATAAATACTTCGGTCGATTCTAGAGCTCTTTTGAAAATTATCAGGCGAGGAATAATTCAAATTTTTACTCTACATCTGGATATAAAAGAGAAGGGAATTATCCAGTTCGGAAAAGTAAATTAGTTTTTAATTAAATTAGTAACCTTGCAGTCTCTATGTGAATTGCGCTGTATTTTTTAAAATACTATCATTTTTAGAGATATAAACTCATCCCGATGTTATACTCATCAAGAGCTTTCATTTGAGTACCCACATGCATTTTCATATATTTTTCATATATACATATATATAACATATATAAATATATGAAAAATTGATGTAGGTACTTAAATGAAAGGTCTTGATGAGTGGAACATCGGGATGAGCTTATATATTTAAAAATGTCAATAGTTCATAGGATACAAGGTTATTTCTTAATTATTGACATTTTTTAAAATATAAACTCATCATGATGTTACATTCATTGAGACCTTTCATTTGAGTACCCACAAGAATTTTTTATATATTTTTCATATATACGTATATATAATATATATAAATATATGAAATATATGAAAACTTGATGTGGGTACTCAAATGAAAGGTCTTGATGAGTATAACATCGGGATGAGCTTATATCTTTAAAAATGTCAATAGTTAACGAGATACCCTGTCATTTCTTAATTATGTTTCTAGAGATAGATCATTTTAAAATGCAGCCTAAATACTTATTATCATAAATTGATATAAATACACTGGCCACAAAATTTTGCTTATTCTCAATATAGATGAGTTCAATATCTGATTTAAGAATTTTCTGCTATAGCTTGATGGGTCATTTTATCAATTTTTAATGTGATTTTGTCGTCGATAAAAACTGACAAAAATCAATGAGTTTATTCGTCAAACTTCCGACCTAATAACTCGATAAACCCGTAACCATAAGCTAAATAAAATAATCGGTAATTTAGTCATTAACGAAATTAGAAATTGACTTAGCTTATCCCCTCTGGGCGTTTGCACCCGGGCCATTGGGTCTACATGATTGCCGTGGTGGTTTTTGGCCCGCGGTTAAATTTTAAACGCGAGTAGACTACTAGTAAGCCGACATGAACACAGACCCTCCGTGATATCGGGCGCACTCTAAGCCATCTGGCTCGCGGTGGTGTATAAACGATTGGAACGACTCTGGGGATATTTGGGAATGGATCATCGAGTACAAGCGCCGCAGGTTCCCTCCTCGATTGGATCCCTATCGACCCTGGTGTTTTTTGGGGCTTTTGGCCTCCTCATATCTATTTTCCGGAACTAAAACTAAGCCCTTGAACTTCGGCCAGCTCGATTAGGATTACCTTGTCGGTATTGTATCTCTATTTGCCGGCAGTTGGATCCATCTCGCTAAATTTGTCCTCTCCTTTGTGCTCGCATTAGTAAATGTTAATGGTAGCTCAGCGCTGGTGAGTGAGCGTGATAGACCGATCTAATAGGCAACAGCGCGATAAATAATTCATTAAGCAATTTGCATCAAATATATGGCACACATCCAAATCGATTGGAGATTAAAATTTAATTTTGTTTTAACAAAGCAACTTTGGAGAAGGGGAAGGCTGCTACTGCTGCTGCTGCCTGATTTTTACCCAAAATAATACGCAAGAGCCTCACTTTCATTTAATTGTCTTTTATGTAAGCCATCGGCGCCAACCCTTTTGACATACGATCTCAATAATGAACTCCAAAGCACGATCAAACCGCCTTGCATTAGAAGCTATCACCCCTCGGGTAGCGTTGTTTGTAAACGGTTTGCCGGCGAGTGGGTGGTGAGCTGGTGGATCCCTTTCCCACCGTCTCTGTCTATGTATGTCTGTGTGTCGAACTTAGCATTTCGGGTGGGAGGACTCCTGTGAAAACATTTTCCGTGAATGCATTAGCATATTTACTCGACGATCCTCGCGAGGGATCATGTGTGTGACTTGTATTCTCTCACATGTGCTTGGGTTGAATACACCTCTTTGATCCTCTTGCAATTCATTGCCCCAAAAAATCACTAATGGACAGGTATCCAAAGTATCCGTGAGCTTTTTGTGTGATCTACAGTTCATGTGGGTTGGACATGTTTGAAATGTGGTTACTTTTGTTCAAGCTCGATATTTTTGATATGTTCATATGTAATCAATCCAAAAAAATTTATTCTGGCCTGATTTGACTCAATAAATCCAAATTATGACCTAGAATGATCGAACAATTTATCATTCGTATAGATCGCACTTTGACTAGGGTTGTTTCGACTAGATTTCATTACTAAATTTTCGCCTGTTTCATTTTATTCTTTTGTCTATAATTAAGTTTAAATATTGTTAATTTCGAATAGTTTTCATTTCGGATATTTATGACTTTGTGTATATTTTGTATTTTCGAATGAAAATAATTTGAGTGGAGTTTCTGGCACCCGCTTATGGGACATTCGTATGAAGACGAGTGTGGTAGATGTCGCCACGAGTCGTTAGGCGAGTGTTGGTGTGGCAATTACATACGGTAAAAGTATGGAGGGTAGAAGATAAAAAAATACCTCTGCCACTTCCAGAGACTGGAATTGACACTTACTATAGTATACACTTCACACAACTCTTACTATACTAAATTCAAAAAAATTGAACATGATAGTGAAGTTAGCTGACAACTGTTAATTTTTTAAGTTATTATAAATTATAATAAATTAACTATAATAAAAAAAAGTACTTGACAAAATTTACTAATAATTTTTTTTAATTGTTACACGTGGAATTTTTTTAATAAAACTTTTTTCACAACAATTTAATTGCTGTCAAGTTATAAAAAAATTTCTACTGTCAGATAACTTCAGTGTCATAGATCGAGCACATGTTATGTTATATCATTATATCATTACGAAACACTGAGGTTAATGTTATTGTAAAAAGTAATTTAAAAAATTACAAAGATAAATAAATATCTGATGATTTATTAAATACAGCATGTCAGACGATTATCAACGTTTAGCTGTTCATTATTCGGCGTGTAACGAATTTTTTTTCAAAACTCAAGATTGTGAGAAAGAAGTGAATAAATTATTAATTATTTATTTACTTATTGTTTTTATTACTCTTAAATTAACAATTTTATCATTGTTAAATTTGATTTAACAAATAATTCCTTAAAAATTATTGTTAAAAAATTTCACTGCAATTTTTTTTAGTCAAAATTTATTTATTAAATATCCTTCAATTTAATTGACATTTTTGTTTTAATAAATTATTTTTAATTTATTTATTTTTTTCAGTATCCTGTCTCAAGAGCATTTGGACAGTGTACACAATATTACGTTGATTTGCAAAAGTGTATAAGACGTCAGGTAAATTTTTTTAATTTTTAAATTTTATTATTAATATTTAAATCAACAATTAAAAAAATTTTTTCCTTTCTATTAATAAAATAAATTAATAATAATTAAAATTTCTTTAACAATTTCTACAATTTTTTTTTTGCTATAATTAATTTGTTATAAAATTTTTTAAATTATTAAATTAATTTTCCTAAAAAAAAAAAAATTCTAAAATTTTTTTTTAATTAATTTTTATCACCACAAAATTAATTATTAAATAATTTAATAGAGAAGAATTCAACAAGAAGCTAACCGCAAGATCTCTGAAGAAAAACGTGAAAGATTAAAACGTCTTTTAGCAGAAGCTAGAGCCAAAGAAAATAAAGCATAAAAAATTCCAACAATTAATAATAAATTATTAAATTTAATAATTAATAATTAGTAAAAATGGACGACGAAAAGCAAGACATGGAAGTAGAAGAAGAAGTAGATTCTGGTGACGATGGCTTTGACTTCCCACCAGACGACAGTGTCGTCAACATGTTGGACGAAGTGGACTTATCTGAAGAATTACCATGTGTCACGGACAGATACTTCACCCCATACTACAAAATAGACGCCCAAAAGCCGAATAATGACATCTGCATCAGAATCCACAGCAACCGCATCTGCATGCTGTCCTTGGCCCCAAGTCACCCAGTTTTAGCGAAAGACAGCGAGATCGAGAAGATTAACTTCAAGGTGACTGAAAAGTTGGACCGGGCGACGAACAAAGTTTCGGGAAAAGCCAAGCATGGCGCGCAGCCTCTGCAGGAAAATTCCAACATTTGCTTCATCACTCTGGCTAATGGAGAGACCTGGCCCATCAAGTGCTGCATGATTGGCAAGTTGGTTGAGATCAATGAGGCCTTGATTGATAATCCTGAGTTGATCAGGAAGCCGCCTGATCGGGGTGGGTATCTTGCTATTGTCTTGCCGAATATTAAAGCTCATGAAGGTATGAAGGATAAGCTGCTGGATGAGGAGGGTTATAAAAAAGCTATCGCTCAGAGAGAATTTAATTGCAATTCTAATAAAAATGAATTAAATTCTGATAAGAAGGAATTAAATTCTGAAATAAAAAATGAATTAAATTTTGATAAAGAATCAATTAATATTAAAAGAGATAGAGAAGAAGAAGAAATACCTAAAAGAGAAGAAAAATTACAAAAATGTTAAATGAATTAAATTAAAAGACACTTAACAATTTTTTAGAATTTTTTTTTAAATAAATTATTAATTGTTAATATTACTAAAGAAATAATTAATTTAATTTAATTATTAAATTATATATTATTAATAATTAATATTATTATTACATCAAAAAAATTATTTAAAAAAATTTTTAAAAATTGCATTTATAATAAATTTTTTTAAAATTGCATTTAAAGTAAAAGACCCAGTTATTGACACTTAGAATTTTATTTTAATTAAATAAAAAAAATCGACTCTAATAAATTGATAAATATAATTTTTAAATTATAAATCTTAAGATAATTGGTTTTTTTGAGATTTTATTTTTTTAATTAAAATAAAATTGCAAATGTCAATCAACTAGGCCAGTGTCACTAATTGGGTTTTTTTATCTTATAATAAAATTTTTTCTGCTGTAATTTATTTGTTAAAAAAATTCTAAAAATTATCAAATGTCTCTTAATTTAAAGATCATATTAATTGTAGTAGATATTAATTAATTAATTCGTTTAATGTAATAGAATAATAATAATAATATACATGTGAAATAAAATAATATTTGTACTTTCCATCACTGTACAGAAAAAATTCTTAATATTTTATTTGTGAATTATTATTTTCTAACAAGCTATTTTGATTGCTCCTAGGTGAATTTTTTAATAAATTTCCTAATACTATTCCCGCAAAAATAATTAGTCCTATTGTTCTGTTGGAGATGAATTTTTTTGCACAGTCCTGGGGATCATCAATGTTCAGAGTTCGGATCTAAAAATAATATTAATAATTAATTTTTTAGATAAAATTGTTAGAAAATTGTAGAAAAATTTGCTTGCTCACTTGTTCGACAACGTGGCCAGCAACGACGCTGACAGCCACGTAGTAGGGCCATGTCTGACCAGAAACTACTCCAGAAGTCAACAAGCTTCCTATCATAGACGCTCCGAATCCGGATAAATAAAGTTTGGTGTTGTCGCCGAATTTCAACGCAGTGGACTTTATTCCTAGTAACAAGTCGTCGACTTTGTCCTGGTGAGCGTAAATCGTGTCGTATAAAACTGTCCAGCAGATTCCGGCGACGTACAGTGGCAAGCATATTGATAAGTCACAGGAACCCTGGACTGCTGACCAGCCTAAGAGGGCTCCCCAGTTAAAGGTCATCCCCAAAATTAGTTGAGGCCAGTATGTTATTCGCTTCATTAGAGGATAGATTACTACTAATCCTGTAAATATAAATCATTTATTTTTATTGAACTATAAATAAATAAAATTTTGCTTTATTAAATAATGACTTTTTTTAAATTGCACTGTACTTTCTTAACTATTGACATTTTTGAAGATATAAGCTCATCCCGATGTTACACTCATCGAGACCTTTCATTTGAGTACCCACATGCATTTTTTATATATTTTTCATATATACATATATATAAATATATTAAATATATGAAAAATTGATGTGGGTACTCAAATGAAAGGTCTCGATGAGAGTAACATTGGGATGAGCTTATATCTTTAAAAATGTCAATAGTTCATGGGATACAAGGTCATTTCTTAATTATTGACATTTTTAAAGATATAAGCTCATCCCAATGTTATACTCATCGAGACCTTTCATTTAAGTACCCACATGCATTTTTGATATATTTTTCATATATAGATTTAGGGGTGTGCGAATTATTCGTTTCGAATCGAATATTAATATTCGATTCAAAATTCGAATCGAATAATTTGAATTTTCAAATTATTTGAAATTCGACGAATAATTCGAAAAATTACGAATAATTCGAAAAAATTCGAATTATTCGAATTCTTTCGAATTATTCGTCAAATTTCGATTAATTCAAAAACTCGAATTATTTGATTCGAATTTCAAATCGAATATCAATACTCGATTGGAACGATATTCGCACACGCGTATTTAAAATTGTCGATAAGTTCATTATTAATCATTCTTATGTACCAATTGAATCGTTTTCACATTCTTTACAAGGATTCTAGGCCAAACAGTTGATTAAATAAGTAACTTGGAAGAAATTTAGAGTTTTCATTTTTACATGTCCGCGTGGCTATTGCTATCAAGAGTTATCAAGAGTTATCAAGAGTTAACTAGACTAGGGTTTAAAATTTTCGGTAAGTTCATTTTTAATCATTATTATGCATCAATCGAATCGTTTTCACATTCTCTACAAGGATTCTAGGCCAAACAGTTGATTAATAGTAACTTGGAAGAAATTTAGAGTTTTCAGTTTTACATGTCCGCGTGGCTATTGCTATCAAGAGTTATCAAGAGTTATCAAGAGTTAACTAGAGATCATATACACCCATATTTAATTTTTTGTAAAAGTTGGTTCTGAAAAAATCCGCTAGGTGGCGAATTGTCGCTAAATCTTCTCACTAGTGGAGATTTAACTTTTATAATATTTAGTTCTAAAGTAAAAATTATTGTTTAGACTCTTTAAAAAAGCTTATTTATCATCATTTTTTAGTTTTTAAACCAATTTAAGCTCTATAAGACATTATATATGATTTATTTATTTTTTACATAGCTTACCAAGGCTATATAAAAAAAATTTTCAAGGATTCGGTAATATGACCTAGGATAGTTATAAATGTCCATATGTAATTTTTTGAAAAAGTTAGTTCTGAAAAAATCCGCTAGGTGGCGCATTGTCGCTAAATCTTCTCACTAGTGGAGAGTTAACTTTTATAATATTTAGTTTTAAAGTAAAAATCATTTTTTTGACTCTTCAAAAGAGCTTATTTATCATCATGTGTTAGTTTTTAAACCAATTTATGTTCTATAAGACATTATATATGATTTATTTATTTTTTATATAGCCTAACAAAGCTATATAAAAAAAATTTTCAAAGATTCGGTAACTTTTAGAGCCATGGAAAATTATTAAATTTCTAAAGCACTCGAAAAATGTCGAGTTTGGATGACGGGTAAACAAAAGCCCAAACAATATGTTGTTTAAGATGAACTACAATTCGCAGTATGCCAAGTATTCTCCTCGGAGTTTCTCGAGTGTTGGTAACGAGTATAAAGTGATGAGTCAAGTTGTTGCTAGCTCACAAAGTAACACAAGATGCATATTGAAAAAGCCCATGACATTTACCACTCAAACTTTGATATAAACCACTTCTTGTCATTCTCATTGTCCTCCTTACGAAATAATTCAACAATATTGCCTCGTTTCGTTCCACCCTACCAGGTATTTACCTACCAGGATATCACAGTAGCTTTAAGACTCGAGAAAGGGGAGCCAATAGTAACCTACCTAGCTACCTACCCAGTAATAACTTACCGGTGATAAAAAAAAAATGGATTTGACATAAATTAGAACAAAGGAGCGCCGGAGATATTTATGACTGTGTGTGCCTGTCCCGAAATGGAGAGTCCCTTTGTTTGTTGGTATCCACTCGACCCAAATACACCCGCCGAAATCTCTTTGTTCTTTTGTTTGATGTCGGTGATACTCTCGCAAACCGTTACCCGCTCTCACTCTGGGCATCGAGAGGTGACACTGATGACAAGAGAGCCCAACAATTGACGTGTGTCACCTGACGCGACCAGATAAAAGAAAGCTATGGCTTGAACGTCACTTGCAACTGAAAACTGTCCCCAGGAGAGTGTCACCGGATCCATGACACCCGCGACTGCATCATTGATGTACTCGCGGATCGGATCCCGTTTCAAAAATGCTTTGTCGACGAATGGACCGTTTTATCACGCTGAGTTATAGGCTACCGAGTGTATAACATTGATAAGGCTGTTTCCTGCTCCACAGACGATCCGGTTTATCGATTCACGCACATTTCACCCTATTTTTTCCATAAAAAAATACAAAATAACTGGGCAAGATAAACCAGGTGTGACAGCGGGAGTATTGGTGAGCATTTTTGTCAACAGTTATACGCTCAGAAAATGTTCTGACGATATAGAAATTGGCCTTATAGAGAAAAAGTCATATTGGAAAATTTTTCCGCGAGTAGTCATTACTGCTTAGCGAGAATATTGACGACTATGAATATGAATATCAAGCAGCGATTTAATTGGATGATTCAGAGCCTTTTTGACGGCTTACTGGCATTGAATTGAATGAAATAAAAGCGCGAATGGATTCGTCTGTGAAATAGAATCGAGTGGAGAGAAATGAACAAAAGCTTTCAGGGAAATTCTTTGGCCGGAATCGAATCCTCGGACATTTATGCGAATTTAACCCTCTGACGAGCCAGCAACTATGGTGGTGGTGATATTAGTAAATTTGTATGAAATTATGCGTAGATATATATATATGTGAGTGTGTGTGTGTGTGGGTGTAGGGGGAGGGATGAGCGGAGTAGGAGTGTGAGTTAACATTTACGCTAACAGGGCATCCGGGTTCCACGCAAAACCGCGCGGTATCCAATTATCGCAGCTCGGTGGTGATAATTTTGGGCATTCAGATATCATTTCATCTGTCAATAGTGACTTGATTAACAATTGTGTAACCTTCTTTACTTCCGTGGACACTAGGTGTTTGCCATCAGATTTGCATGTGTGTTGGTGTGTACTCTCCTGCCATGATAATGTCCCCAAATTTGGTCTACACTCACGTATGTACTCTCTTTGTGTTCATACTTTGAGGCACGTTCATGTCAAGGAATTTAATGCCAGGCTGGTTTGTCATCAACACTCAATTGATATTAATGTCACTCATTATTTATGCTAATTCCGCAAGGACCCTGATTAATTATCTAGTATTCATGTTTGCTGGCTAATTGCTCATTACATTTTCCCTAAATCTGTAAGCTCTCTTTAGATTTCCGTTCAAATGTAATTTTTTATTTGTCCTGATGAATTCATATATTTTCTGACCGTACAATCGGTCATATATGTCCAAATATAATCTTCTAATTAAAGTTAGTACCAAAAATATCCGCTAGGTGGTGCATGGTCGATGCATCTTCTCACTAGCAGAGAGTTAAAATTAAGATATTTAATTCTAAAATAAAAATAATTATTCTGACCCTTTTAAGAAGCTTATTGGACATTAATTTTTAGTTTTTTGTTAGATAAAATGTTTATAAGCCAATATCATAAAATTTTTTTACAAGCTAATTTTTATGTTATATTATTAAACGACTTTTATTGCAATTGACTTAAAAAGTAGAACACTTGGTCCCTGGAGACTAGCAAACAAAATATAAAAAAGCCCTAATGGATTACTTTCCACGTGGAAAAATCTATCGGGAAGTAATTACTGAAACAGCATTACAGAGGTTCCGTGCCATTAACCACCACCATGAGTATGATGCACTATTTAATAGAGTGATAGATATACAGACACACCCCGCAACTAGCAGAGTATGAGTAGGAGTGCTAGGGTGAGATCAACTGTAGACAACAAACTCGCTGATTAACCAAATACCGGTTGGCAGGACAAACGCTCGTGCAAACACTGGACATGGTAGTGGACATTACCCGGTATGGTGACGTTCCCCACACCCATAAATACTCTCAGGGATCAAAGTTCCCGGGAAAAAAGGGTTGAACGTTGCTGCAGTGGCTCCCATGTTACACTTTTTCTGGTGATTACGATCCGCTGTTGCATTTATTCAGCAGACGACTTGGGTGAAATATCGTTCCACGGTTCATTACTTCAACGAATAGAAGAACATCATGTAGTAGTTAGAAATTTATAGGTCATAAATCATAAAACATTGATAAGGCCGGTTCTTTAAATGATCAAAAGGGTGCTTGATATCAACATAAGCCGGCTGGATGTCGTTCTCAGTGATAATTTATCGCAATTGCACATTTAATGACGATAAAGACGACAAACAGCGAATTATTCATAGCGCTGATGAATATCTGGTGCATTGAAGAGTGAGTGAGGGGGTAGGTGTGCCACTGCTCGAGGACTCGCTCAAGACAACCAAAGAGGTAATGAACGCGTTTGTTGCTCGGTAGAGAAAGGAACTGGGAACAAGAAACAGGAACAGGAATAAGGGCTGCAAATAGGAAGAGAAATAGTTTATGGAGAGAAAACTAGGAAGGTGGGGAGGAGCATCCTGACCTAAGACGGAAGATAGACGCAACCATGACGCTTATTACGCGCGTGACTTGGCTTCGCTCATCAAGCTTTCGTGACTTGTATATTCTCCTTGCAGATGCACAAGTGTTTCGTGTACGGCATAGCTCACAGACGTTA